AATCAACATGTTCTTAGGCACAGTAGAATTGTAAATGGGCTGATTAATGAATGTCATGCTCATACTGCGCCGGAATAACATAGGGGGAACTGCTGCTTTTTCTGTTCTCATCCTTACTTTCGTCATTTTTCCTCTTCTTTTGTGTATGCTTGTCACTCTCTTGTGAACTTAATTTCCGGGGTGCCTTGATAGTCAAAGCAGACCGTATGCTGTTGAGGCTAGAGAGGTGAGCAAAGTAAGCCTGATTCCCCGTTTGGACTTCTCTATTGACATTCACTCCTTGGCGTTTATATGACCTTATAATTATGCAGTTGCGAGAGTCGTAAAACCTTACTCAAACATTTTTTTAAAAACTTAACGACATTCTGTCCTGCTTTTGTCATTGTACTGAGTATTTGTTTTATCTATTTATTATTCATATAGACGACAAAACAATATTTGGTTTAGCATAAGTGGATGGGAACAAAACAATGCTTATTTTAGAAATGTGTAATTATAACGGACGCACCGTTAGTTCTGCACTACATAATATGGGATGTGGCGCAGATGGCCCTGATTTGAATCCCCAAGGGGGTGTTCTTACACGTGGGTTATTTGGAGAGTTTTCAAGGCTCTTTGCCCATCTATCTTTGTCCTATTACAAATGACCTTTAAATTTGGGTGTCTTGCATCTTAAATAGCCTCAAAGTTTTGAGGAGGAGTTGAAAAAGTGCAGTCTAGATCCAGCCCATACTGAATAGATCCCGTATTACACAATATAAGCTTACTTTAGAAGTTAACAGTAGAACTTTACAGCTCAACAGCCAAGTATGGCCTTTTTTAAAAAAAATTGATAAGAGTTTTACGCAACTTGCCACACAATAAGGTCTTATAAGTGCCGAAGATTAGAGGTGTTACAAGAGCGTAACAATCATAAAAAAGAAGGGGAAGAGATCAGGACGATAGACGTTTGACAGGAGAGAAGGAGCAAATCACACAGGAGCACCTATCAACCACCCACCGTCCCATTAGTATTAATCCTTTAAACAATATTGAGTGTAAAGTATTTAAGCAATCTAGCCATGAGAATCTCCAAATATTTTATTTTCATGTGAAAAACATTCAAGTAAACTAGGAGTGTGATAAGAAGTTGTTTTTTCTTTAACTTGTATTTATTTTTAAGTCAGACGAAAACAGTGGGGAAGTCAGGCGAAAAAAAATGATGCCAGTTTAATTGTTAGTTTAAACGTTTTTATGTGAACCTGAATAAGTAGTTACAACCACCAGATTATTTTTAATTCGAAATG